GAATGCGTCAATTCAAAAGATTTTCAATAATCAACATCAGTGGAAGTAGCTATACTCTTTTTCCTTCGCTTAGCTGTTATCTCACATCCTTTTCCTAGCAAGGTTTTAATGAGATAACATTTATTTTTAATATTCCAAAATAACTGTACTCTTTTCCTTAGTTTGATTTTTTTGTCCAATTGAATTTTTATCAAACAAGGTTTTAACGAGACAGATATTTTGTAGTGTCATTCAAGAGGAAGTGTTGTAAATGACAAGTTTATTAGGGTTTAGTAGTGAATAACAATTTTACCCCTACAGTTCTAAAAATTATTACCATTGTATCCCTAATTCTTACCTATAAATATAGGACTTTAGTTCTTAATAAAATACACAAAAAAATTATTAACTTTCATTCTTCTTTCTCTTTTTCTCTCTTCTCATAACTCACCCTACGCAATCAAAGGATTTCTCCCCCAAAAATTGAAGACTTCCCCATTCCTTTGTTAAAGACAAATTTATATATTTAGAATATTGAATAATTCAGCAAAATGGTTGATAAATTCATTAAATTCCATTCTAATGACAGGATGCAGATTTTACAAAAATCAATTTTTAATTCTTTAGTAAAATTTAAAGAAAATGCAAAATTCAAAAGCTAAAGAAGGCGGTTGGTTTGCGTTTTCATTTTTCATTTTCGATTTCAAAACGATTTTTAGTTTTCCTCGAAAACGCCACGTTTTGGGCGTTTTTCGCGTTTTGGGCATTTATAACTGAAAACGTTCAAAATGATAAAAATTCGTTTTGCATTTTTAGTTATAAATTTTAACACTTTTTCGAAAATGCGTTTTCGAAAACGACGGAACAAACGCGTTTTTTGCGTTTTCGAAAATGAAAAACGGAAAATGGCCCAAAAACGACAAACCAACCGCCCCCAAAATTTTTGCCCGGTGGTCTTTGAATCCTTTAACTAAATTCAAGACAACTAATGGCGGTAGACTGTGGCCTTGATATTTTCTATACAATTTCTATGTTAAAGAATGGGGTAATTCTTCTTTTTGTTAAAAATAAAAAATAAAAAAAATAAAGTGGCTAATTCACGTTGCTGTATGTTCTTGAAAGCCTAATAAATTACAGCATAATTATAACACAAAAAAGCTTACAATAATTTACGTGCTAAAAAAAATTTGTTAAATTAGACACTGAACAAATAAATTCAATATTGAAAAATTCTACAAGAGTGTATAATTTCTCTTACTCTCTTTGCACAATCTATCAAATTGATACATCTTGTATTTTATATTGTTTTTGAAAGTATTTTCTTTCTTAATTTGATGTCTTGAGTTGAAATCAACGAGTCTTTGTCAAAAAAGTCATTATTTCTCTTTTTCCAAACTTTTTTCTGAATTATTATATTGAAGTAGTGTCTGATACGAATTAAATAAAAAAATAATAAAAATTACTTTCTTAAAAATTAAAATTAAGCTCGTCACAACATTTTTCAAATACTGCACCCCTCTATTGTTAAAAGACGAATTTATATATATGTAATATTGAATAATTCGGCAAAATGGGTGATAAATTCATTAAATTCTATTCTAATGACAGGATGTAGATTTTAAAAACATCAATTTGAGTTTCTTTAGTAAAATGTAAGGGAAAAGCAAAATCCAAAAGCTAAAGTTTTGGTTGGTGGCCTTCGAACCCTTTAACTAAATTCAACAACAACTAATGGTGGTGGGATGTGGCCTTTATATTTCCTATACATTTTTTATGTTAAAGAATGGGACAATTCTTCCTTTTGTGAAAAAGTTAATATGTTAAGAATATCATGATTGTAATGATTTTAAGAATATCATGATTGTAACATTTGTTACCAATTTCATAGGGACCCCAAATGGTAGGGGTGAAAATTAACTGTTGTTAATACGTGATCAAATTTGATTGATATTGGTGTTTTTGGTTGAAAAAGGAGTTAAGAGTCGAAAATTTGATTTTGGACATAGATTTAGGGCTTGAGCACCAAACTAGGCACTAAATCATTGCTCGACTTCAACTCGAGCAACCTATTTATTCGGTAAAAAATTATTTCCTACTTTCGACGCGATTTTTGGTCTTCTTTCCATCTAAAACATATTCTTTTTTTAGGTCCTAGCCTTGTATGAGTTAGAATACAATTTGGAAAACACTACACATTGTATTTTCTCTTGTTATTAATAAAATTCTCCTTTTCTGCCCGTTGAGTTTTTCCACATTTGATGTTTTGTGTTCTTCTTGTGATGTGATTTTTACTTCATTTTGTGCCATATAATCTTGTACTCAATTTGCTAGCAAGTAATATTAGAGTGATACGTTATTCTTCAATGTTGTAACAAGTGTTTATTAAATGGATTTCGTCAATTAAAAACTATGGCACATTAGAAATGGTATTGAGGATGTGAACTCTAAAAGAAATAGAATCGAGACCTATTTCCTACCAAGTGTATAAGTTTTGGACTAACGTTGCAAATTTCCCCATGATAATTTGTTTGTTCAATTTGAAACAATACCTTTTCTCATATGAAGTAAGAACCAAGCAACTTCCAAGTTTTTTTTATAATACACGTTGATGTATTTTCTTGAAAACTTAACAAACATAACATAACAAAGCTTACAATAATATACGTGCTTGAAAAACAAGAGTATATAGTTCTTGAAGTACTTTCTTTTTCAAATTTATGTCGCGTTGAAATCAACGATTCTTTGTCCCAAAAAAAAAGAAGAAGTCATCTTGAAGTGGTGTCTTGTCGTGAATTAAATTAAAGTACTAATAAAAATAACTTACTTAAAAATTAAAGTTAAGCTTGTAAGAGCATTTCTCTAAAACTGCATCCATCCTTTGTTAAAGACAAATTTATATATATGCAATATTGAATAATTCAGCAAAATGGGTGATAAACTCATTAAATTCCATTCTAATGACTTGATGGAGATTTCACAAACCTCAATTTTAAATTCTTTAGTAAAATTTAAAGAAAAAGCGAAATTCAAAAGCTAAATTTTTGCCCGCGGCCTTTGAGTCCTTTAACTAAATTCAACGACAACTAATGGTGGCGGGGTGTGGCCTTGATATTTTCTATACTTTTATTTTTTATTTTTTATTTTTTTATGTTAAAGAGCTTGTTTGGGCCCGATTTTTCGCCCAAAAAATTAATTTTTTGACCGTTATTTCACTATTTCAACTGTCATATTTGACTTCTTCTCTCACAGGTGGACCCCACTTTTCTCTTAACGGTCAAAAAATCAATTCTCAAAATCACTCCCAAACAAGCTCAAAGAATGGGGGAATTCTTCTTTTTGTAAAAGAAGAACTATGGCACATCAAAAATGGTACATTGAGAATGTTATCGCTAAAAGAAATAGAATCTGTAATAACGCTGCAATTTCCCCTTATAATAATTTGGTTCGATTTGACACAATAACTTTTCCCATTTGAATTAAGAACCAGGCAACTCCCAAGTTTTTTCAAATGCACGCTGCTGTATGTTCTTGAAAGCTTAACAAATGACAGCATAATTATCACATAACAAAACTTACAATAATTTACGTGCTTCAAAAACAACTGTTGAAATACTGAACAGATAAATTCAACATTGAAAAATTCTACAAGAGTATATAGTTTCTCTTTCTCTCTTTGGACAATTTATTGAATTGATACATCTTGTATTTTATATTGTTCTTGAAAGTATTTTCTTTCTCAAGTTGATGTCTTGAGTTGAAATGAATGAGTCTTTGTCAAAAAAAAGTGATTATTTCCCATTTTCCAATCTTTTTTTGAATTATTATCTTGAAGTGTGTCTTGATGTGAATTAAATAAAAATATTAATAAAAATAACTTTCTTAAAAATTAAAGTTAAAACTCGTAACAACATTTAT